AAATCGGTCTGCTACCAACATCAATTAAAACTTCCACCCTAACTATCAGATTACTTTAGAAAAACACCTGTTCATGAAATAAAACTTCACCCTGTATGCACACGCATCCCCATAAAGAGTAAAGAAAGCGTTTTTTTGTCTTTGAAAAATCCTGGATCCAATCCATGTATGGATAAATCCCTATGTTTTCCTTTATTTTTCAGGGACATATACAGATTCAATCAGATTAGCTGGATCCAATGAGTTGTGTTCTGGGAGAGTTGAAATATACCACAATGGTGTCTGGGGAACAGTCTGTGATGATGGCTGGGACCTAATTGATGCTGAGGTGGCCTGCAGACAGCTAGGCTGTGGTCCTGCTTTGGGGGCTCCTCAGTCTGCCCACTTTGGCCAAGGAACTGGACAAATCTGGCTGGACGATCTGGCATGCTCAGGAAATGAACCTTCTCTAGCCTTTTGTGGACACGGTGGATTTGGGATCGAAAACTGTGGACACCACCAAGATGCTAGTGTCATCTGTTCAAGTAAGAATGTGTTGTTTATTTCCATAACTTACAGAATTATTTCTTTTAATAATAGCAACAAGTTTGCCATTTTAAAGATAGTAATGAACAGGAATGGTTAATTAAGGATATTTGACTTATTGAAGACAGAGACCTGTGCAGACCAGAACTTGAGAGCAAACATTTGTAATTTATGTATGCTATGGCGGATACAGACGGGAGAGTGGGGGCACGCGCACCTCCCTTTTGGAGACCAAAATTAATTTTTGCTATCCAAAATCTTAAACATACTTCATTGTATTGAGATTAACATCCAGTACCTGTCACCTAGAATACGCTTACACCGGCACAGCGGTCGAGACTCCGGCAGATACCCCAGCATGTATTGGAATCGCTTACAGCGCAGGTCTTGCGTTAATACAAGAGGTGTGTTCGATTTCAGAGGCTGCATCCGCCAAGGACCCAGTCTATCTGGACTGGATCCTTCAAGGTCCATGTAAATAAGGAGACCGAGAGAGTTTTGGCTGTGGTTCAAACAGGTCCAACCTTAAATGGCTTTCACCACCCACACACTCTGTGGCCTAGCAACCGTGATAGTTTACACAAAAAGCAGGAAAACTTTTAACTGCTGTTTCTTTTTTTCTTTTTCTTTTATTGTAAAGTGAACAAAGACTACCCTTATGAGAATACAGAGTGGAACAAAGGAGACAACCACTCAGAGCATGAAGAAATAAAACCAAATGCAATGATATAAAAGGGGTAGAAAGATATAAGTAAATCTAAACAATATACGTATAAAAAATATATCTGCAAAATCTCTTATATTCCACAAGAAAAAAAAGCTTAATTAAGCCAAATTGTACAAAAAAGCAATAAAAAATAAATAAAAAAACAAGAAAAGCTATTTAATAGTACATTAGATCATCAAATAACAACAAAATATTGTCATGGAACATAAAGAATATAAAGATGTAAGGGGTAATTAAGAATGACATTTAGACAGGAAGCATAGAGTCTTTTAGCATTGATGGTAGACATTTTCTTCAAGGACAAAAAAAGTATATTTATTTCATTTTCAAATGCTCTGATTGTAGCAAGAGTTTTGGTAAGACGACATCTGTAGTTAAAAAATTTGACCATAATAATATAAAAAATTATGAATTCTATTTGTTTATCTTCGGCAATAATTTAGAGAGTACCAGATATGAACTGAGAATAAAAATGTTTGGGTTTTAGTACAATAATAAAAAAATATTTTCAGCTGATTCCTCTTCTCACTCACATAGAACACATTTGTCTAGAGTGAATTTGAATTTGGTACATATGAATTGGTTGGAAGGATAAATTAGGGTGACCAAACGTCCGTATTTCCCAGGACATGTTCGTATTTCACGTCCTGTCCCAGGCGTCCCGGGTTTTTTTTAGAAAGTGAGGAAATGTCCTGTTTTTTTAAATTACCTTCATTGGACCATTAAATTTACAGACGCTAGGGCACGACGCTGCGTGTGACGTCACCCCTGAGCGGCGTAGCCCTGTTCTTAATCAGAATATAGATAGCGTGGCTGTCAGTACGCCAACAACATGCAAAGGCAC